ATCCAAACTATAACAGCATACAAACTACAACAGCATTACTCTTTTATTTGGTTTTTGCGAGCAAAGCTCGTTAATTCAAGAAAACTTAATCAATAAAAGAGTACAGAAACTAATTTTAAAAAAGCTGCCCGAAGATGATAAGGACAACAAGAACTAAACTGAAAATGAACATTAATTATAAGCTTATCAAATATTTATATTTATCTTTACCAACATCAAACGCCTAGGGATAATCATGGAAAAAAAATTCTACAATCATTGCTCTTTTAAGAACAGCGCACTTTAAATTTTTTTCGTTGAACACACTTTAATCTAGATCTTTCCTATTTTGAAGCTATTGAAATTCTATTCACTCTTTCCACTCTGAATGGTTCAAGAATCAAACAAAATTCACCTCCCCCTCGACTACTATCCAAACTCAAGTAGCCTCATTTATTCCTTCCTCTTTCATTTGATCTTTGTGAGCAGAGCCTGTTAATTCAAGAAAACTTGAATCAAGAAAAGAGTACAAAAAGTAAAGGGGAAAAAAAGAACTACCGTAAAAGTCCAAAGACTAGAAGGACGAAAGTGGACGACAAGGGTGAGGGGGCTTACTTGGAAAAGAAGACAGACTTGCAGAAAAGTCTTGTTGTTCACTAATGGTTTCGAAGGTAGTGTCCCAAAGCGCCTGCTTTAACGAGATCCCTTCTGACCCCCCTTCTCCAAACGTTCCTAAATGCAACTGACTTTTTATTTTGTTATTTTTCATTTTAAGGACTTTCCTGGACTGGAAAAGAAGTAAAGTTTTAAAAAAATTTACCTCCGCAATGAAGGCAAGTCCGTTTCTCTAAGGGGTGTGCTGATGCCTGGTCAGTTCGAAACGCACGATCGAAGAAAAGGAAATGGTTTTCTTTTTCTTTTGGACTCACGCTCGAAGTGTTCGATACACTTTCAGGTGTCCATATTTTATTTTGCTTTCCTGTTCAGATTTCTGCGTCGATACCGAAGCTTTAAGGAGGCAGATATGGAAATAACGAGTTCGAAAACTTTCTTCACTTCAGTTCGAATCTACTCTCTTAGAGTCTATCGACAGGATTTCAGAAGTTTTGGTTCCAGCTGATTGGGCGCTTGGATCGAATCACTCGATAAATATGAATGCACATTGCATTCATATTTTTCGACATTTGAAGGGTTTTCTTCACTCTTCGATAATAATAAATAGTTTTCCTTTAAAATTTTAAGGATGTGTTGTGGAACAGGATTTGGAACGTGTAAATCAAATAGGTACTTTGGGAAAGTATGTTTCATTAAAAAGTAAGAGCAATAGGATTAATGAAAATTCTTTGTTATAAAATTCCTCAGAAAGTTTGTCAAATTGTTTGTATTTATTCATTAATTAAAAATAACAAAGTTTCCATGTTACCAATTAAAAATTATTGTTCTTAATGTTGAGAATTATTTTTCTTGCGAATTAAACTACTCCCTTATTAGAAATTTAATTAACTTGTCGTAACTTAGATCTATTAGTTTTGTGTAATTTAAAAAGATAAACTTAGAAAGATTATTTAAAAAGATAACTTTGAAAAGATAAAGAATTAATAATATGTTGTTGATTAATGGAAAATAAAAACTTGTGCAATGATTTGATTTTTTAATTTAAAAATAAAATGCTTTAAAAATGAACCTTGGGAATTTATTTAGCCATGCTTCCTAGTATGCATGCGTTAAGTAATGCTTATTTTAGAAATATGTAAGATAAATGTATCAATGTCAAAAAGATTTAGTATTTCCCCATTAAGTGTCATTTTAGGATTTTAAATTCTTAATAAAATGAAAGCTAATTCTTCGTTTGCATTTTTTAAAAAACAAAATAATTAATTTTTTTAATTTTCGCACAGGATTTTCTTTAAATAAAAGTGAGTATTCTGTATAAAATTTTAATGTAATTTGAACGAATCCTGATGTTTAATTATAACTTCTACCATCTGCTTAAAGATATAAATATAATTTTAAAACAAAAAAAACTGCTTTTAATCCAGAACTATTCTAAGAGAAAACGATACACATTTATATAACTTTTGGAATTAAATTTAAATAACATTATTATATAACTCGATAAATGCGCATCCCTTTTAAAAATCCCATTATTTCAGATAAAGCCTGTAACCAAAAGTAACCCACCATAAATAAGATCATTAAATTAGTAATGAAATTAACTTGTCAAAAAATTCAGATCAATTAGTTTAAAGAGAGTAACTACAGGACATCATCTAACACTGTTTCTGATATTTAAAAAAAATTCAAAAATAATTAAATAAATCAATATGAAATTTTAAAACATTTCACGAAAACACTTATTTTTAAAAAAATCCGAATAAATTAGACTATGGCTGCAACAAATATTACCTTGCATCAATTAAAAATATAAATAACATAATTAAACGTTGCTTTCAATTTAAAAAATTATATACGAAATTTTAGATTTGACAAACGCACTTCTCTTGTAAAACTTAAACCTATTCAGAAAACACTAGCCTTTAATCCAGGTTGACTAGCCTTAAATCCAGGTCAGTTGTAATATAAGTAACTCATATTGTTGTAATATAAGTAACTCAGATCAATCAGTTAAAAAATAATTACGAAATTTTAAAATTCTTAACCATATGAAATTTGCGAGGAAATAAAAAAATAAGCATAATTTCAAACATTGAAACACTGTCTTCTATCGAAATTCTTATAAGAGAAAAAATATATATATGCATATAAAGTTTTAGAACATTTGACGAATACGCATCCATTTTGAAACCAATCCAATTAATCTAGATAATAGCGGCCACCGAATTGGAATAAGAAACCAAATTAAATCAGTTCAATTGGTAATATAATTAACATGTCTTAAAATTAACTCGTCTCAATTCAGATCATTTAATTAAGAATTAATAACGAAATTTAAATATCTTAAACATTTGAAATCTGCGAGACAATAAAAATATAAACATAATTTCAGGACTTAAAACACTGCTTTCTATCGGAATTCTTATAGGAGAAAAATATAAAAAAACTTATATAAAATTTTAGAACGTTCGACAAATAAGCCTCCATTTTGAAAAATCCAACCAATCCAGATAATAGCTGCAACCGAATGGAATAAGAGACCAAGTTAGGTTAAAAGGGAAACACTTATAACATTATATCTATATTTTTTCATGAAACGGAATATTCGAGAAGGACATACGCGTAGAATTTCATGCGTTTGACTAAAATATTTTTAAAGATAATACTCGCTTTAGGAAATGGGATGGACGGATAGAAGCTTTTAGATTTTTTCTTTCTTTTTGTTCATCCTTACTTAACTTGATCCTCAATTTTATCGTCAATAGGAAGAAAAATCTAGATACACTTTTATAAAATCTATAAATATTTTTTAAAGAAATCATCTTCATAGATGTGATATAGTATTTTTTAAAAATAGTCACAATCTATACCCTAATAGCCACTATGGTTAAAATATATAAGGTTAGAAATATATATATGGCCTAAACATACTTTAATAAATATATACACATACATATATTTACACTGTCCACAGATGCCTAAACCGTAACTGCCACTTATATTCATTTATAAAGCACCATTTTCAATCCAATCATTTTGAAGGATGGCTGTTAATGTGGAGGTGGTATTTTTGAACGAGAATTAGTATAGAATTTGGTTTTGCATTGACAATGAATTAAAAGATTTTTGATTTTATATTTAAAAGATCTTTGCATTCTTATGGGGATCTTATATTATTGTATTTTTGTTAGTGTAGGGTTCATCAAATACCAGCATGACCAACAGATTTTTCTGTTCGCTACGTTGCTATAACAAAATCTGACATTTATTGTGCTGTTATGCTGTGCTGTTGGCCGCTGATGAGTTATAAAACTTTTTATTATTATTTTATTATTTATATCTTTTTGTATTATTTTATATTACATATATATATGTGTGTGTATAGTACTAATCATAAAGTTTATAATAATTAAGGCGAGGTCATGAAGAATTGGAGAGTCAGTAATTTTTTAACCTTCTATCTTTTATTAGTTTAGTAATATGAACACCAAGTAATGAAAGTTTTAAAAAAAAATGTTTTCTGCTGTTAAACATATTATGCCATAAATTAATAATGCAAAACATAAACAAAACAAACACAATTACACAAACAAATTTGCATAAGTCTGCATTTTTCTTCTTTTTTGAACTATCTACCGAGTTGTGTTTAGAGTTTTTTAAGAGAAGGCATGATAAATGTATTTCCAATTACAATGGTTATAATAAATAAGGAAATGTCGGTATAAAAATATTGAAATTTTTAATTTGCACAATCTGTTTTATGATTAATTTAGTCTTGCAGAAAAAAATAAAAAACAGAAAATGTCGGTATGGAAATATTAAAATCAGTAATTTTATAAAATTTGTTTCATGAATAGTTTAGTCTTGTGCGTAAGAAACAGTAAATAAAATAAGAAACAAAAAATGGTTTTCATAATTTTTTTTGTTTAGCATATAATTTTCTTGGAAAAGCTTATGGATTACAACATTTTTTGCATCATTTAATTTTTTATTGTATTTAGCAATAAAAGTGTCGAGTTGGATTCTCATTTTTAATAACATAAAAAAAAGTCAAAATTTCTTACTTTTTATGCAAGTTGCCGGGGAATGTAGCAATGTTGCGTGTACAAATCCATACTTCATGAAATATACCTAAATTGAAGTATTAAGATTGGTAAAGTTGATATTTTAAACACTCCAAGCAACCTCAAAAGTGTAAGTTTCAGGACAAGTTATTTTGAATTTTGTTATATGATCAAATGTATATTAGATACATCAAGAGATGTGTATTAGATTATTACAATAATATGTTGGAAAATTAAAAATGAATAACTTGAGTTTAAAAATAATTTTAAACACTAAAATATTGTGAAATGTTTACAAATTCTTTTGAAATAATAAAATATCAAGATTTTTACGTTTTACAGACAACGATGACTCAAATTCGTGACCGCAGTTTCTGATCGTAGCAGTGGGAGCAATTCAAAAGACACCCATGTCTCATGTATTGGTAAGTTAATCATAATTTTGCTTTAATTAAATAAGGTCATAAAAGTGTTCAAAGAATTTTTTCAATTGAAGATTAATTAAAATTCTAGTAAAACTATTACACTGTATAGTAATAATATTTCTGATAAATAAAAAAAAAACTTAACTCTTTTTGATAAAACTATCACACATGGTATTTAAACCATTCATTTGGTAAATTTTCCGTTCATAGGGTAACGCTTACAAAATTATAATTTTTAATATCACGCATTTAGTAAAAATATAAAACTGTAATTTAACCGAATAAATGGTTCCTGTTATGCTCTTTTATATTATGATAAAATTACTGAATTTCACCATATTTTATCACATATTGTAAAATTATATTTTATGATTAATTTCTCCAAAATCATTTCGAAGGCACCTTGGTAAAAATTACTGAGTATTTTGGTGGTCCAATAGAGCTCGAAACACGGCTAATTTTACCATATTCTAGTAGTTTTGAACATAATTTCTTTATTTTGCAGAAGTACGAAAGTATCTAAGCTTACATTTTTGAAAATTGAAGAAATTTGTTTCTAATTAAAGTCGTAATGTTTATAAAATTATAAACATTTCTGACACTTTAAAAGTTTAATTGATCAGCATTAAAAATCGTGTCAAGCTTATCAAAATGAAATAGATATCGATCGGCTGCGTCGAAAAGAAATTTATAGCGCAATATTTTCCGATTTAACTGAGTAAATCCCTTATTTCTATTTAATTAAGGAATCATTGATTATCATCATTCCCTCTTAACCATTTAACTAACTATTTCTTTTCTTATATATATATTATATATATTGACCAAGCCATGTTGCTCAAACCTTATGTCGACCATATTATTGAAATTTAGTACTAATCATGTAGTTGAAAATCTCTGTACCTTGTTACCTGATCTGAAAAGCAATAGAACATAATCCAGAAAGTCCTGTGATCATGAAAAAATATTAGATTAGAATTTCAATTTCCAGGCACTGAAGTCTGTCATAAACATTTTCTCATTTGGCAAACTTGAAATTTTTAGTTAATGGATACTTAAATTTTATAAGAAATTGTGCATTATTCGAGAAGATAAAGTAAGTTGTTGTAATACATTATTCACATCTCCAACGTAAATGCAGCAAAAGAGAAAACCTACCATTTTTAAATTGCTATAAAAGCCAAACAAGTGTCCCTGATTCGTAAGTCCCTAATTCTTAAAAATGTAAGAATTTTACAATAACAATTTCATTTAGTTTTTTCTTTACAAATTTGCATTTATATTGCCCTTTGTCGATTGTTTACTAATTTTTCGAAGAATTTCTTCATATCCGTTTCGAAGCCTAATGCTATTCTCATTACCTTATAAAATAAATCAAAAAAGTAAAGTAAAAGAATAAAAAAGTAAAGTAAAAGAATAAAAAAGTAAAGTAAAAGAATAAAAAGGTAAAGTAAAAGAATAAAAAGTGAAAAATCAAATAGTACAGAAAATAATAAAAATAAAATTAAAATAAAAAAAAATGAATTTAAAAAATTAAATAAGATAGTCAATTTTTAGACAGACATAAGCTAATCAGTGCTGCCATCTGTAGTTGATTTATACTACTGATTTGCTTATTGTTTGAAAGTCATCTTAACTTAGTAATTAATAATTCCTAACATCCACTAGATACCTAAATTAATTCTATACCTGTCGAAAGGTTTAAACCTAAAAAAATATAACAATAAAAAGAAATACACCAATTCATTCGAAACATTTGATAGAAAATCCCAGGGCACAGATTCTTTTCGTCAATATATCGAACATTTTCGAATACCTACTCTTTGCTTTTCGAAAGGGTCACTTTTGATTCGAAAGATAACTACTCCCAAAAAATATTCAGAAACTTTTCCCCCTTTTCTTTATATTTCCTTCTTTTCTTTATCACTTCTCCTTTTACATTTTCTTCATCTCCATTTCGAACCATATTACTCTTCCCTAAGTCCGGCTGAATAATAAAAAGAGAGAGTTGAAAAAAAAAAAAGAAAGAACGTACGACCGGTTTCAAATTTTTCCAAAGAAGAATTGAAGGGAAATGACTAACATTCAAAGTTTAAGAACGAAGTCCAAAAGAAATAAATAAAACTGAATAAATAAAAAAGATAAAAGTAAACTCTTTCCATGACCGCCTGAGTGATAGATCTGCGCGTAGAGTGGACATTCGGAGGCTTTAGAAATGCGTGACCAATACCTATCGCACGATCTTCATTCCCTCAACCCCCTACCTCTACTATCACCTAAGCCTACTATAGACTATCAGTATCAGAATAAAATTTTAAATAAATTTCTTGTAGATTTTTTTGGCATGATTCTGGCTGATCTCTGCTTTATGAAACAAAACTGTAAAGTTTTGAATTATTATTATTTAGAAAAGTACTAGGTAGATTAAAGATCAATAATCCGATTTTTCTTTTAATAAAAAGAATCACCTAAGTTTTTAAATTTGTATTTGCTAAGAAAAACCTAATAAGATGCCTAAAGAAAATATAAAGTTTAAGTTATTAAGTTTATGAAAAAGTAAACTTAATACACAATAAGCACCTTATTTTTTTCTATAAGCCAATGGAATTTAAATAATCATGTAAAATTTATAATTTCGCAGAAAACTTAGAAATATTTCTAAAGATTTCAAATTACTATCTATAAGTGACTTATCAAAATGCAGCAGGTTTTAACTGCTTGCACAAAAATTATGTTAGACTGCTTACACGAGATTGGGTTTAAAGTATTTTTGTAAGGTTTCAGCTACCTACACAATAATCATGCTTGATGGCTTACACTGGATGGAGTTTCAAATGTTTTTGTAAGATCTCAGTTACTTACACAACAACAATCATGCTTGATGGCTGACACGACATTATGTTTCCAGGTTTAAGTTGGTATGGTAGAGTTACAATCTTGCATTTAAAAACCTTTAAAACTTTTGCAAAAATAATTCTTTTTTTTCTGGAAAAAAAGTTATGAATTAACCATTTCACTAAAATATATGCATTGATGTTATCATTATTTTTCTTGCTAATTTCAACAAAAAACTTTCAATTGTTGCATTAAATACTATTGAATGTACTACAACATTATAAATTAATTCAAACTAAGCAAAGGTTTGAAAAATACCAAGTTGTCTTGATTTTAAGACAGTTGGTATGATAGATCTTTAACCTTGAATTTCAAGGCCTTTACCATTTTTGCAAAAATTAATCTTTCCAAGATTTTTTTTTCCAATACCCACCTGGAGAGTGACCTTTCGTCATACAGACATCTGAGGGACAGATTTCTTGGCAAACTTTTTCAGGGGCACCATATTAGATGGGCCAACGCTGCCTACACAATAAGAACAGATAGTACAGATAATGAAAGAACATCCATACCTTCCCCGGGATTCGAACCCAGAACCTTTCTGATGCAAGATGAGTTCCCTGATCCCTACACAGGCTGGTCAGCATATTTCCCAAGAAAGAGAAAACTTTTTTAGATTTAGTCATTTTCGCTAAAAATCATTCATTGTTGATATAAATCAATAACTAATGTTTGACTCATTTCAATAAAAAATATCACATTGCTGATTTATTTAGTATGTTGTTTGCTTAGTATCTGTTTCAAACAAAACAAAGCTTTGAAAGACATCAAGTTGCATTGATTTTAAAATAATATAGTAGAGCTTTAATCTTGAATTTTTCAAGACCTTTAACATTTTTGCAAAAACAGTACTTTCCCGTATTAGCTATATTTCCAAAAAGAGTTTTTAGCCTGGAAGTAAACTCTTTCTTTGAGTTACCAGTTCCTTTAAAAAAAAAGCATACATCCATATAAAAAATTTATAATTATTTTGATTAATTTCAAGAAATAAAGCAATAAATTATTGTATTAAATAATAGTTAAATGTACTGTGAAATTATAAATTAATTCAAACAAAGTGAAAGCTTGAAAAGTATGCAATTGCATCGATTTAAAAAATACTTAAAACTGAAAATAAAATGTTATATACTTCAAAAGAGTTATGATAAATTGTAAAAGTTATATTCCCGCCAAAGTCAAGAAGAGATTTTTTTTTCATCTTCTCTTCTTTAAGACGCAGAGAGTGAAGAATTGGAGATGAAAAAGAGAGAGAAATTTTCTTCAAGGTTCAAGGACTGAAAAAGTTGCTCTGTTATCTGCTTCATTGACTCTTCTGACCGGAACGGTATATATAAAGCTTCAGAAGAAAAGTGGACTCGTTTCAAAGTTATTAAAGTCCACCAAGAAAAGGGAAAGTTAGAAAAATTTTATATCAGATATAAAAGTCATACTATTAAAAAGTTTCTGTTGATATATTTTTTGTCACAACAGTTCTTTTTTGTGATTTCAACTTCTTTTTCCTGTTATCTTACGTGATAGGAAGACTCGAGGAAGTTCGAAACAATTAAAAGTATTTTTAACGGGAAGATATTTTAGAGATTGTAAGTATTATTGATAAAGAAGAGTAGTTATAAGTAGGAAATATTTTTCACATTTGTCGAACTGGATAAATAAAAGTTTTAAATGACATTTTAAGGAATTTGAGTACATTTGTTTAAAAGTGTCTGAAATTCTCTCTGTAGTTTCTTCAATGAATCTCTGTATTACTCGGTATATATGTGAAGCTAAAACAAAAGTTTGATTTAGCCCTAAGTATTTTGATGAAGATGGAGTTTTAATGAATTTTAATGGACTGCTTGAATTTATGAATATTAAAGCTCTGGATAGATAATAGATTCTTAATGACACTTTAGTGAATATGAGTACATTTGTTTAAAAATTGCTCAGTTATTTACTTCCTTGACTCTTCCCAACGGAACGGTATATATAAAGCTTCAGACGAAAAGTGGACTCTTTTATTGAAGTGGACTCGGTATTAATGGAATCTTTAAAATTATTAATGTCAACCAAAAAAAGGGAAAGTTACAAAAATTATATATCAGGTATAAAAGTCATACTATTAAAAA